TGTTTTACATATATATAAAAACACATGTAAGACAAAGTAAAACAAATAAAATGAATAAATAAAAGCTTCATGCAAGAATTAAAAAATAAAATAAATCAAAATGTATGATAATTTGCCAGAAGAGAGGATGATCTGTTTTCAGCACCACGGACAGCTCCTCAGTCTGCTGCTCCCTGCTGGACTCAATCAGCTCTTGTTCATTCATTCATTCGTTCATTCATTCATTCATTCATCCATCAATGAACACGCTCTTATTTTACCAAAGTGGCCACAGCATGCTGTCATTTTTTAAAACTTGAATCCACAAAACAACATTAAAACATATTTAGTTTTTTGAGCGACAGAAACKTTTTTTCTTTAAAAACAGATGAATTTTGGGCGACATATTAAAAAGCAGCAATATGACCCACTTTACACTGATTCTAAAAGAGCCAAGATCTTGTCAAGCATTCAGTATCACTGAGAAGTAATAAAAAACAGCATACACWAAATATTTTGATTAAAACATTATTGTAACATTGACTTTTTAAAAATACATGTTCCTGTTAAAAAAATAATTCTAATTCATATAAAAACACATTTTATCTTAATTTTCTCCTCTGATCTTCCCACTCCTCTTTTTCATTGTTCACATCAAATTTTTCACTTTCCATTTTAAGTCTCTTTGGTCTGAGTTGTCRTCTTTCTCCGTCTCTACTTGTGTCTTTTTTGTATACTTCTATCCACCTCCCACTTTTTCCATGTTTGTGTATTTCCTCCTGTATCCAAAGAGTCACCACCCACTCTCCTGTCCTCTCTGCTTCGTTACATCACACTGTGGTTCCTGAACACCTCTGTTCCTTTCATCAGATTTGATTATGGTGCATCTGACTGTCCTTGCATTCTCTTAGTTACAGATAGACACTGGGAATTGTGGTTATTTTCTCAAAACTCAAACAACAAAACAACCTCATTTAACTCACCCAGGGGTCTGCAACCTGCGGCTCTGGGGCCATATGTGGCTCTTTGGTCCCTCTACAGTGGCTCTTTGAAAATGTGACCAACCATAACGAATAATTTTTGTTTGTTTTTACTGTATACTCACAACAGATATCAATTTGTAAGCAAATACATGATCAATACTACTAATACAAAAATTAGAACATGTTAGCTTATGCTAGCCTGTTGTTTCCTTAAATAATACAACTTTTGTCATTCTCTCAAATCCATCATAATTACCTTCAAAGAATATTAAAAACTACATAATAAGAATAAAAAAGCCTGAATAATTCAGTTGTATTATTATTTTTATGAAATTAGGTATAAACTAAAGTATTTTTCTTGTTTACATGAATATAGTATTTTTATGTCCTGATGGGTAAAAATAAAAATAAATAACAAAACTAAAAATACATGTTTTTAGTTTTGTAATGTCACCTTCACTGGCCGTAAAATTTCACAGGAAAAGGCCTTGAAAAGGCCCACAGACCAGCAGTTGATTTTCACAGTTGTGGTTTATTTTGCGGCTCTGGACACATTTGCTGGCTGTGTCCAAAACAACAGGCCGGGTCCTCCGAAGGCCGAATTTGTCGGCTGCATACGTCACAGCGCCGCGACAAAGGCCGTCCAAAACCGAAGACTCCTCCGATG